TTTTTATGTTAATGTAAATCCTTCTGTTATATACTATAAAGACTGAGATTGTGTAATGTTTTTTTGCTGAGTAGATTATCATAATAGCGGGCTTTTCGCCATTTTTTACAAGATCAGTTTTTATTTGGGCGTAACATATATACGCATGCATTATAAATCGTTGAATACACATAATCCAATATGCAAATGGTTGTGCCATATAAATCACCTCAATCTTGAACGGCTGATTTGTGTTATTATGTTGGATACAATGTCAAAACTCAAAAGGCCGCTACCTTGAATAAGAAGATGGGAACAAGTATGAAACGTGATGCACGCTAAAAACATTCTACGGATGTGATATAGGCCTACGGACATCAGTTGCCACCACTGCTATATGTGCGCATGCGTGTGTACGTTGTTACATTGCCTCTTCTTCGTTACAATCATAGAAATATATAGAGACAAGATACAATGTCACACATATAGTATAAGAGAGACATATAGAGTCTACGCATAATATATATCATCGACGCGCCGGCACACAAACCTGGTCAAACTCCACGACAGATGGCGCTCTCAAATGCCCTGAGTTGCCACCAGTTGCCACTCCCCATTCCTCAGTACCTCAGCTCAGTACCAAACACATGATCGTACAAAGACATTTTTATTTCACCCGTAAAGTCGTGTTACAGATTTTCTGAATTGAAGATGACGCCCGTATATTTTGTCGCGCTTTTAGCATTTAGCCTGCACACAACTACCGGTAAGTAATAACGGTTAGATAATAGGCAATGTAAATAATCCGAGTAAAGTAAACCTAGTTTACCGCGTGTCCGTGTAGCCCTCTGTTTACAACGCCTACGGCGTTTGCCGGAGCGAAGCCTGAGGACTAAAATAGCCACAGCCACAGCCACAGCCACAGGTGTAGAGCTAAAGTAAACGCTAAACTAAGGGATTCGCGCAGCTGTTTATTATTATATTAATATTATTTTCAGCGTATCCGGTTAGTTGTACAATTGTTGTTATTGACATTGTTGGTCTTAGTGTTAGCCTACTGTGTGTTGTATAATACAATTTACAAAACAATTGTTTGTAATTGTAGTTTTTATTGGAATCTGCGGTGTTGATCAACCAGTTTGGCCAACCTTGGCTCTCTTTTATATACCCTGCCTTATCGTTTAGTAATTCCACATAAATGACGTTCAAATAGTTTCCTACACCACAATCGTAATGCACACCCTGTCGCCGTGTACAATCCTACAAATCAAGGCACTTGGAACGTCTCAATACAAAAAATGATGGTAAATAAACAAGAAATGTATTTACTCCCAAAGTCTTAATGTTTCTCTACTCTTTTTCGCCTATTATATTGCCGATAACTTGCTGTAAATGCCGTTCAAATGCTCCTCTGGCTCTGCAACCAACAAGTACACCGCACGCACGCCACTGTGCACAAACGACAAGAATAATAGCGCAGGTAGGAAATTGTGATCGCAAAATTTGCTGGATGCTCGCTTGATTCCCCACGATTACACAACAAATACTCGACCAATCTACTCCATCTTTGTTTCTATTTGAAGGCTAGTTTTCACTTGTTCGAATTATAACTTGTCCTTTGTTATTACCTACTCTAAATCCTGCAGGAAATATTCTCTCTGCGTTTTGGTGAATGGGACGAGATGGCTGTTTATACATGAGTAATGCGGCGCAGTGCATGCCGGGATGAGCTGCTGCCTGCCTCCTATCTCCATTTTGAGGCCCGCTAAGCCAAGCATAATGCGCGTGGGCATGACGTCACACACACAGCTACGTTTATTGGTTAAAGCAATCGAGTAGCGTGGTTAAGGATTTTCGGATGATTTTTCCTATTTACAAAAATTTTGAGAGAACATTTCCTGTAGGATTTCACAAGATCTCTTTGGCTGGATCGAGTAGGTAATAACAAAGGACAGAGTTATAATTCAAACAAGTGAACACTAGCCTTCAAATAGAAAACACAGATGGAGTAGATTTGTTGAGTATTTGTTCTGTAATCGTGTGGAATCAACCGAGCGTCGAGCGAATTTTGCGATCACGCTTTCCTACCTGATCTATTATTATTGTTGTTTGTGCACAGTGGCGTGCTTGCGCTGTACTTGTTGGTTGCAGAGCCAGAGGAGCATTTGAACGGCATTTACAGCAAGTTATCGGCAATAATAGGCGAAATAAAGTAGAGAAACATTAACTTTAAAACTTTGGTAGTAAATACATTTCTTGTTTATTGACCTTTTTTTTATTGAGACGTTCCAAGTGCCTGTGCTACAAATGATGGCGTTTCACGAATGATTGGTTCTCACACAAAGTAGTTCGTATGAAAGATATACTCGCAAAACACTTTTTGTGATATTGCACAGTGCAGAATGCATAACGGTAAGAATCTGTGTTGTAGTGGAGTATTTAAACGACATTTTTATGGACATATTTAATTAGATGATAAGGAGATAAAAAAAACTTGTGTTTAATTATGTACTATTGTTTCATTATTGAAATGGCTCAGGTGCCTGTGTTCTTATCTAATATTAATAACAGTTTACACACTTGGATATTACAAGTTTCAGTACGCAGTGGCTCGTACTCCGGTAACCGGAGCAGGAGTTCTTTTGGTTTGAACTCCGGCCATTCCAGAATGCATTGCAACGTAATCATACAGAAAATGGCAGCAGATTTTGACATAAATAAGTGTTTGATGGAATATCAAAATGCAGGGTTCTCCCTACGTTGCGCAAATCGGGCGCGCCCGCCCCGTTTGGGAAAACTCCCCCCACGTTTCAATCGTTGCGCCCCGTTTAAATTACCTCCGCCCCGATTAAATTCCACCACAATAAAAGTTTGACAGCACGGGAATCGATCGGCAAGAATTCCCATTCGAGCACGGGAATCGATCGGCAAGAATTCCCATTCGACCAGGCCCACGGACGCGTGTCGGTACCACTAATGAGTAAACGTACTAAACTGCGCATGCACTGCAGACCACACACAAGTACAAACAGTCACCCTGTCCCAAACCCTAACACGAACTGTACCGACTCGGCTGTCTTATATACAAGAACCCAAAATACCGTCTATGGTGTGGTGGCGATTTTACGCATTATGGTAAAAAAACCACGCCCCCGGACCCCCCTAGTTTCTCCTTCCCCCTCCCCCTATCAGTTTTGTATCAGAAAATGGGTTATACTTGGCATTATCCGGACTTGCCGTTTTCTCAGTTATCAGGAAACGTGGCCTGATGCTATTTGTGGCATACAGATGGGTGGAAGCACACAGCTATATTACAATTACATACATAATTTGTTGTAAATTTTTACATACTCCAGCTTCTATTGCATAATTAGGTCAGGTAATCGTAGCGAAGAAATATCTAGGTACAAGTAGTGACATTTAATTGAAAGATTCGTTTCATAATAAATTACATCAGGAGTCTATCAATATAGATATAGACTAGTCTAATTAGAATTAGAATATTGATAGACTCCTGATTACATCCACAAAAATGTGGCAAAACATTCTCACCTACTATGTGCTGCTTATTACACCAACTTGAAAATGAGTAAAGAAAATGCTGTTACAGTATATTAGCATACAAAATAGCAATTAACACAGCCACATTCTTGGAAGTCATGGTATTTGATTTTGCAATGGTGCCATATATGCTAGTGCGTCTAGTTCTGACAAAAGTGTATCTGATTCTGTGATATTCTAAGACATGCTAGCCTTACTATAGTCACTTGATGTCACGAAAACAATACCAGTAAGTATCACAATGCTCTGGAAAATATGAGAACAGCCGAGAAACATATTCCAAAACTTTTCTTTGAGTGTGTGTGTGTGTGTATGTGGTGGTGGGGTCGTCGATTAATGGGATTTTGATTGGTGTGACTGTGTTTTGTTGGAGTATGTGCTGATTCTACATGCATTAATTACAGCTTCTTGACCAGAGGTTTAAGCGAAGCTGTGTCGGTGGCGACCCTAACATATGAACTGTGTTGGGATGTGTCTGAATTTTTTTAGTCAGTTGTAGAAATGGGTAGTAGTTATATGGTTAACACTTTTGTTTTGAGGTATCCACTAAAATTTGGCTTACTTCATGAATTCTGATAATGAAAAATAAAAAGGAGATTTTTTGAATTTATAATCATGGTAGACGAAAGCGGTCGTTGTTGCGTGCCATCGCTTGCCAGAATTTCCCACCAAACAAGGTTGGAAAATGGGTCGTTTTCAACTTGTTTTTATTCACAGTAAGTACTTAGTATTTTTAACTATTGACACTTGACCTAAAGTGATTACGTCACCGTAAATAGTAAAACTAAAAAAAATATTTCCACTTTTTCACAAAATGTAAGTAATACTGTTCACTTTTTATGGTTAAATTGCTGCATTATATTTCCTATTTTCCTATATTGTTCATTGTAAACATACACTCGTGACTCATACATAGCCCATAGCAAGCAATTAATATCAGGATAATAACATCAAATCGACCAGAGAGACATGATACAAGATTGTGTGGCACAGCTTTGCTGTTGATCCTGAGCGCTGCGCGCGGATGAGACGCGCAGTTCCGCGGGATATGCGCATGCGACCGCGGGGATGTTCAAGTATGAAGCGCTGTCCGCAGTGGAGATGTGCGCCAAATTCGAGGCGGACAGCGGTCAGAGGATGGTCTGTAGTTTTAGAAGATAACAATGAAGACTTTGTTCTAAATAAGAACTATCGGCGGCTAAATAAGAGCAATATATACACCTTTGCATTTCTTGACTAGTCAGTCAAAGGGCTTGTTGGGGGTCCATTATGCAGAGCTTCCAATTGAAATGGCCCATGAAATTGTCAAGTCGAATTGTGTTTTTCGGAACTCCAAAGAAAATGTCTCCCTCTTACATGCACCCCCCTCCCTGATCAATCACGCATTCAAGCGTAAACAATAACACTAACAGAGATGAAATTGTGTTGAGTTTGTGGCTCTTGACGCACGTGCATTGACGTACAAGACCGTTGAAAGCACAGGCACTTGGAACGCCTCAATAAAAATAAATATTCACAGAATTTTTCACAATGATCAACCGCCTGTGTGCAAAATAGGTGAACGTATGTGAAACATATACGGTTAGTACTTACTGTGACATATCGGTGACTAACTGACACCACTAAATTGGTAAAATGTCCCATGCACCTTAAGAAATTCGGAGAAATTACGGAGAAATTACGAGGTTATCATCGCAGAACTCCCCAACACTGCCCATCCTCATGTCACAAAGCTATATGTAAACAAACACGCGTGTTGCCAGGTTCCTGCCTCCGATATCCATTTCGAGGCCCGCTAAGCCAAGCATAAAGCGCGCGGGCAAGACGTCACACACACCGCTACGTTCGTTTGCTAAAACAATCGAGTAGCGCGGCTAGGGATTTTCGGAATTATTTAATTTGAAGAAAAACTTAAATGTTCAATAAATGACGCACTCGTTCACTTCCGACAGTGAGTGAAAATGCCGAAAATTTTTCACTTTGATGCGAAATGCATCGGCCAGGCATTTCATTATTTACGAAAAGTAAACAGGCTGGCGAAAGACAGTAGGTACAGGAACTGGTCACATCGGTGACGCCCCATTCATGTCCATCACTGAAGAAGGCGGGGCTTATTCTGATTACGGAGATGCGAAAATGCAACAGAAGGACGTAGCGCAGTGCGCTAAACAGCGTGTTATTTCGTATTTGTGGCAAACTCTATCG